AGTAGAGTTTTGAAAAAATAATTACAAATTAGTGAGAAACTTTATAAATATTAATAATCAAAATTGTAAATTACTTTTCCACGGACTTGTATTTTTTGTCCTTCTGACATCCACAGGGATGTAATAAGACCATCTCCAACGCTTCACCAAACCTGACATCAGATTTGAAATTTGGTGAAAAAGTCACTTTTTGCAGCTCCAATGGTTTCATCAAATTGGTATCAAAACGAGAATTCACCAAATTTTTCATCAAAGTGAGAACAGGAGAAAAATTTCACCAATTTACTGTGCATGATTTCCATTGTAAATAAGTTGGTTCAAACAGTTCAAAAGGTTTAAAGAGGTAAAAAAAAAATACACTAATTGGTCGATCGGCCGGTCGACCCCTACTTTGATGACAACCATTGGAGCAGTCTGTATCAAATTGAGAAAATAGTCTTTTTTTTAAGCAGATTTAGTGAAAAATTTGGTGAACCCTTGGAGATGCTCTAATCCCAAAAAATTATGTCTAATTTTTTTTTTTTTTAAAGAATGGATTAATTTTCTTGACAAAATCTTTGACCGCATCAATGCTAAAGAGTTTATTCTCCTTGACCTTTTGCACCCAACAATTCTTTCCTCTTCAAACATTTAGAGGTTTATCCTCAGTGTAATGGATATTGGAAATATTTTCTTTGAAAGAATGGGTTGTTAATGTTGAATACTATAATTTTAAGACAACTCACTTACCTTTCTATCCAAGAGATGATGTTGAGCTGAGTTAAAAAATTCCACTTCTCGAACACTGCTCTCTTGTAGCTCTAGCATGCGCTGCAATGCTGAAGGGAGTGCCCTCATGTTGGGACAGTTGATTACTTTTATCTTCTTGATGAATGATCCTTCAAATGTGTAAGCTTGGGGACATATACTCTTGAGGTTTGGCAGATGACAGAGTTTGAGACTATTTAGTTGAGGGAACATGATTATATTTGTTGCGACTTCATCATCTACTTTTGGTTCCTCATTAACAATTGCTTCCAGCACACCACATTCAGCTACACATATTTCTTGTAGTTTCACAAGAAGTTTGGCTTGAGAAGATGAGAATATATATCTCAAACTGCTACAACCCACTATTGTTAAGGATGTCAGGTTCTGAACGCTTGGAATTCTTAGTAAGTTGTTCTTCCAAACATGTGTCAACTTTGGTAGATAAAGTAGGGCCAATTCTGTTAATGAAGGGAGCACGATATCTGGATAGCCTTCTCTAACAATTATTCCTTCAAGATCAAATGCTACTTCCACAGATTGACAGCACCCCACTATAAGTCGTTCAATACTCTGCATGCCCTTGAGAATATTCAATAGCTTACGACAATGCGAAATTAACATCTCTCCCACTTTAGGTTGAAGTTCCCTAGGCCATATCTCTATCACGTTATCCATTCCAGAGATCACCAATTTCTCAATGGTAATTAATTTAACCTACAAAGTCCATTCACACGGTTACAAATATAGATAAACACAACATATTTTATTTCCATTAAAAAAAATCCATTAAATATCATTCATTTCATGAGAAAATAACATAGCAGAATTTTCGATTCTATTTGTGTCGAGTGTGGTTTAGATAATGAAGTTGCTAACCACTTAATCATGATCTTGAGTGATTTTCATTTTTTTTAAATTAAAATTATTTTCTTCAAAAACTATAAAATTAGAGCATTATTATACAAGTTCAAAAATTAGACCCACTTTTTAAGTTCAATGATGTGACAATCAATTAAGGCATTTAAGGTAACATTCTTTCTCATATTTTCTCTAATTATCAACCAATCATATTACTTACATATCATTAGATCTAAAAAATAAGTCTAAAAAGTGGATTTGTATATCATTTTTTTATAAAATTATACACGTTTTCTAATGCAAGCTCACTATACTTGAAAATCATTGATTTTGTCATTTCACAGCAAGATAAGGTTAACAAGAAAAAATAGAATATATTTTTGACTTTAATAAAATATTGGCCTCCAAACACGTTTTACAATGTAAATCAGAATTTTGACAATTTAAGTAAATGTGAGCAAGTAAAATGATTTAGTGGGATCTATGTTTGTTGTTGTTTGTTTGTGTTTTGTTTTTCCTTTGATTAGTCCCTCTCCAATTCTTAGGTCAAGTGCTAGTATAAGATTGTACTTGCTTTTCAGTGTCAATCTAATTGGGATTGTTGACTCTAGCTATGATACTTTGTGCACTTCCGTCCTTTATTGATGTAAGTTATACTTGTAATTTTACTTCTTCATCAATAAAGTCTTTTCTTTACTGATCAAAAAATATATATTAGATATTGTAATTAAATTTTACAATATTAGAATATTTTTATTGATAGCTTTCTTGGTGACCACTCTTACTTGATTATATATAGGCCTCTCATTGTATTGTAAAGAGAGACATCATTGAATACACTTTTCTATTTCTTCAATATTGTTAACATGGTATTAAAACTATAGGTTAAGTTCTTGGTGTTCTTCTTCTTACCGGTGGGCAACAACCTTTCCTTGGCCGCTCGTCGGATCTCAGTCCTATCCGTTATCCTTGCATCCCAAACCCCTCAGTCCTTGAACCCGAGTATCTCACAACCACACATTCGTCTCTTTCTCCAACCATCGCCACCATTACTCACCACAGCTCCAACCATCGCCTTCACCTCGGACGTCTATTCCATCACGCTAGCTATAGTTCCGGCCATCATGCCGGCAGTTCCGGTCCATCGCCGCCTTCCTTCGCCGTTGCTCGACCACCAGCCCACATTCAAGATCTTTTCTCTCCCTCTCTCGGATTTACCCCTCTCTAATCTACACTTTCATTTTTTTAATCAAACCCATCCTACACACTCTCCCAAACCCACAATTTTTTAATTAAACCCATCCAAAATTCTCTCTCTCTCTCTCTCTCTCTCTCTCTCTTGGGTCTCTCAGGTACACTTTCTATTCAAACAAAACAATATGTTTTTCAACTCAATCACATGGGCTTGTCCCACTATTAAAATAAAAATTCTTTTCTATAATTGTTTTTTAGAATATGATCTCTCCCTTCCACTCCACTCTGTCTTTCCCTCTATTTCGACCTCAAATAAGTTTATATCTTCAAACCTATTTGAGTTTTAGAGGGGGGGTTGGGAGGGTAATATACCTATATCATTGTGAGCAAAGTGATACATTATGCGAACCACCCAAGCTATCACTTGGCACACCACCTAAGTCACCTCCTTAGCGCACCACCACCTAAGCTGCCCCTTAGCACACTACCTAAGTCAACCCCTATCGCATTCTGTCTTAAGTTGCCCCTGGCACACTCAATTCCTACAATGGTCCAGTACAACCATAAACTGTCTTCTGACATTAGCTTCAGTTGCTCTTACAACGGTCCGGTACAACCATAAACTATTTTCCGACATTAGTTTCAACTGCTCCTACAACGGTCATGCACAACCATAAATTGTCTTCAAGCATTATTAGTTTTATTTTATTTTCTCTTTCCAAACTCTAGTTGGTCTCTTTGCAACCACCTTAAGTTTGAGGGAGACTGTTAGTGAATATTGTATATATATATATATATTATATTCACTATATATATTAGATACTGTAATTAGGTTTTACCATATTAGGATATTTCTATTGTTAGCTTTCTTGGTGACCACTCTTATTTGGTGACCACTCTACCTCGCCTATATATAGGCATCTCATTGTATTGTAAAGATACATTTTATTGAATACACTTTTCTATTTCTTCGCTGTTAACATTGAGAAAGAATAAGGTTAACAAGAATGCTTTCTACTAAAATATCAAACTTAAATTAATTAATTTTTTCTTTATTAATATTTTGAAAATCGGGAAATGACAAATTAGAGGCGAACTCATAAATTTCCTCTACTTTATCTGGGGAAAGCTCACCTAAAAACAAAATAGGTTTATCATATACACACACACACACACACACACACAGAGATCAGGGTGGCTTAGGGAGGTAGAGGTAGGGCCAGCCTTGAGATTTATGAGATCTTAGGCAAACTATGAAATAAGGCCCTCTTACATATACTTGTTTGGGTAAATTACAAATACATTTCATGAAATTTGCTTAAAATATAAATTGCCTCTTGTGGTTTTGAAAATTACAGGCTGTCTCTTGAAGTTTTTACTTTCATAACAAATTGCGCATTTTATTAATAAATCATCAAGCCAATCAACAAGATCTAATGATGTCATAAATTTATTTCAATTAATAATTCAGGTAATTTTATTATTGAATAAGAGAGCAGTTAGAAATTTCATTTTTTCAATTAATTCTATTAAATAAATTTTTTTGACAATGGGATATTTGTAATTTTCTAAACCACAGGGACAATCTATATTTTAAGCAAACCTCAAGAGGTATTAAATTTTACCCTACTTTTTTGTAAAAATTTTATAGATAAAATGATAAATACTAATAATTTTTTAATTTGTTAGTAGTAACAAAAAAAATTTACTTGCAGGAATAATCGTTAAAATTATAAATTAAAATCTACTTCCATATATTAAGATAAAAAGAAATCATTGCAAAGAGTCAAAAAGATAAAAATTTGATGTTGTTATTTTATAATTTAGCAATATTTAGTTTACAATTGACTCAACTATCACATTTTAGCGGCAAAATCACTAATTAAATTTGCATAATCTAATTATTTACCAAATCTTTTTCAATAGATAATATAACTAATCCATTCAATAATTCTTGTAACATTGTTCATCAAAGGAAAGAATTGTTCAATATCTATATTCAATTTGGCCAAACAACACATATGAAAAAATAAAAAATTGTCCGTTACTGGTACAAGAATTTTTTTAGGGGGGCCTTTAGACTAGGCCTCAATTAATATTAAAAAAAAAATCGGTAAATTACAAATACATCTTTTAAAATTTTCTTAAAATACGGATTCCCCTTGTGATTGGAAAATTATAAGTATTCTTAATTTTATTTTGTTAGTTAATTCATATAATTTTAGTATTGTATGAGAGAGCAATTAAGAATTTTAATTTTTTCAATTAATTTTGTCAAATAAAATATTTCGCTTAATAAATAAAAAATGGGCCCCAATGTTTATTAGGTCTATTTGAATAATATAGTATAAGGTACTAATGCATTGGATTATCTACCAGCCGGTCCTGTTTTTGGATTTTATTACCCATTAGGTTCTAACTTAGAATCTTATGTACACATTAAGTCCTGGCCCATCTATTATTTTTTGTTTTTTACCCTTGAGTGTTTTGTGTTGCCCTAAACAATCTTTTGTTCTCTCTCTCTTCCTCCACCATTTATGCAGACTCTCTCTCTCTTTCACACAAAGAAGACGCATCTCTTTCTACAATTTCTGCAAAGAGTTTTATCGCCATACCACCACCGTCACATTGGTTGTTCACCCACTATGGCCACCGTCATCAACCACTGCCACTACCATTGTTCACCAACCATCTCCACCATTCTCCTTCGTTCCCATCAACGTCACCATGACAACCACTATAGTCGTCGTTGAACCATCACCACCATCGCCACCATCATCTTCCACTCGCCACCATCGTCGTCCATTCGCAACCACCATCGATCTACACTCCACCGTCACGAATCTACCACCTTGTTCACCAACTACATCAACCATCACCGATCTACACTCTACATCTCCGATCTTCACTCTATTAGAACCGTGACACAAATCGAGTCCGAACTGTAGCATCGAGGTCCCACGCGGGCGCTGTTACACCAACTACATCAACCATCACCGATCTACACTCTACATCTCCGATCTTCACTCTATTGTCGCCGATCCATCGATTAAGCTATAGATCTACATTGATCTAGTTGTTTCAATGGTGAAATCGACTCCAAATGACTCCAAACAACACTATTTTTTCATATCTTACTTCTTCTCTCTCTCTCTCTCTCTCTCTCTCTCTCTCTTTCTAAAAACGGATTTGCTGTAAAAAAATTTAGGAATAAATTTATCAGTATCTGGTTGTGTTCAGTGACAAATTTATCACTGAATGTATCATTAATTTTGTTGATTTAGTATTGATCTATGATGGATTCATTATTTTTCCAATGATAAATATCAGTCTCTATTGTTTGTTATGTGTGTGTATGTGTGTCTGGATTATTGTAAATAAGTGAGTGAACATGATTAAGAGTGAATGATTCAAATTTATTTATAATTTTAAAAAAATCTATTATCACTGATGAAAGTGTGTCAAGATATGACTGAGGAATTGAGTGGTGGAGATGGTGGCAACAGTGATGCAGTGGTGATAGATGTTATTTTTGTTGAAACAATTCAATAAAATATCGTCGGAGGTGGTGGCCAATGACCAGAGGTATTAGTGACCGGAGGTGGCTACTGGCGGAGGGAGAGAAAGATATAATAGTGTTGTTGGGCAGCGGGCAAGTTGCT